TTTGCGGTACGCGGGCCTCTCACCGCCGTGGCCTCTCCCGTTGCGGAGCACAGGCTCCGGACGTGCAGGCTCAGCGGCCGTGGCTCACGGGCCCAGCCGCTCCGCGGCATGTGGGATCTTCCCGGACCGGGGCACGAACCCGTGTCCCCTGCATCGGCAGGCGGACTCTCAACCACTGCGCCACCAGGGAAGCCCTCACCTCCTTTTGATTGTGGCCGAAAGCAAGAAATTCATTTAAATCACAAGTGTGTATGTATGTGTGACTCAGTTTTTGGTTTCACGTTGCTAGCCTGTTCTATTTTTCTGCGTTAAGAAGTGCTGATTACAACCCATTGAACTGAGATGTGCAGTGGACGAAGCCGTTCAGTTAGAACATGCTAGTCTGGAGAAAGATACCTAACACGTATAATGATAAAGCAAGGAATGAGTGCAGTCACAGAAGTGCGCACACAAGGTCCAGAGCCCTGACGAGACACTGGGGCCTGGAAAACCCTCTCCTATGTTTTTCCTATCACCGTCATGGGGACCCCCAGTACACTCTGCGGTAATGTCTGCTGGTCTCTTTCCCAGAACATTTCCTGCCGGCTTCTCACCCCCCGCGTAGGCTACAGATACTGCCTCTGGTGACTGAGCCAAAGTCATCTGTGAAACCACCTGTGAGTCCACAGACAGGATGGGGACAGATGAGCAGCTCAGCTCCCTTTCCAGCCCTACAGCTCTCCCATTTGGGCGACAGTATCCCAAGCACAGAAGGAGCCCACGTGGACACCTTTATTTCATCAGGCTCTGTCTGTTTGTTCCCTTCAGGCACAGCATCAGTGGGTCTGGAGCGAGAAGGGGGGGAAGCAGGTCCCAGAGGCAAAGAGCAGGGCAGCAAGTAGCGCGAAAGCAATGGCTGTCGGCTGCTGCTACAGAATGAAGATGCAGTGTGTGGAAGCAGCTCACACCGCTGCGCAAATTTCTTCTCCTGGGGCTGTACTGCCAGTGAGTCCCGGGACCAAGTCCCAGAGAAGCAGACAGGGTAACAGCAGATGACCCCGGGAGAGCTCCCTCACACAGGCTGTGGCTTGATGACCAGTCCGGGCGTGGAGTTGACTGAGGAGCTGCATAGATACTGGAGAGGGAAAGCATCTGTGCTAATGAGTCGTCAGGAAGAAAAGAATTAATGACACATGAATATTTAACTTCCAAGAAAACACCTGGCAGCATCCTGGCGCCAAGAAATGTGGTTAAGAGCGCGGGCTCTGGAATAAGACTGACCTGGGAACAAATCCTGTTGTCCCATTTCCTGTGTGCTGTCTGGAAAACACCTGAGAACGGAGGGGAGGATGACCCAATTTGGGCCTTCTGGAAGTCCACATCTACTGCTTAAGCTTTCTGAGCCTCAGTTTCCCCACGGGGAAAGCAGGGATAATGAAAGGGGTGTTGTGAGGTTTGAATATGAGAATGGCTGATTCCCTGGTACAGCTGACCACAGGTTAGCTGTTTGACTTTGGCAGTGAAAATCATCAGAGAACAGGACCAGGGAGACTGGTGAATGGCTGTGGCCATGAGAGCTCCATCTCCTCTATCCACATCCTCTTCTTTCCACTGGCCTTAAACCAACGTAGAAGACACCCTCTCCTGACGGCATCGCCCCCCATCTCAAAGGCGGAGGTCTTTGAGAAGTCACTGTTAGGTCCTCAAAGCCCTGCAGTTCCTTTTTCCATTTATCCCAATTTTGTTTAAACTTTGAACACATGGGCCAGAGGTAACTTTCCTTGCCAAGTTCTGTGGAATGATGGGAAGAGCCGGCCACAGAGGCCCATGTAGAAATGGAACAAAATGATTCTCCCTTGGGCTGCTGGGATGAGGAGGGCTACTGGGCCAGCCCACCAAGACTCTCCCACCCCCTGCAGAGAGATGAGAGCCCATGGCTACTGAGAGGAGAGGCCCGGCAGCTGCGGGCCGAGGAGTGGATGCTGACAGCTGCTGGAAGAACACACATTCCTTTTTCTTAAACCCATTACATGGAAACCTCTCTTTGAGATCAGTCTCCAGGGGCGGGGGCATCTCTTCATGAGCTCTAATTCCAAGGATTTGAATGGAGAGAAACACAGCAGGCCAGTGCTGGCCCAGGACGGTTCTAAACATCCTCTCAGGCAAAGCTCCCCTTAGGACAGCGAAGCTTCCGACCGCAAGAAGAGCTGTAGAAAACACTCCGTGTAGTTTAAAAGGGTAATTTAAAAATGTGATGTCTCACGGTTCATGAAACAGTGATGGAAAATGCAAGTGGACAGTCCTCCTACAACAGACAGTCTATGCTGGCCTCCAGAGAGTTGCAAAGTCCGTTAGCACATTAAAGGCACTGTGAAATCTGACAGCAAAGAATTTCGGGTTAATTTTCTGTTTATCCCATGGGTTCCCAAACATATTTGGTCACAGAACCCTTTCGCCAGGACACAGTTCTTTCCGCAGAACATCACTGGCCTAAGAGCGAGTTAAGGCCTCCTCTCACTGACACCATGCCTCCTTGCAAATTAGAAACTCCTGCAGTAGGCAGAGTGCAGACAGGTTCGAGCCTCCACGTGTGCCCTTGGCCTGACCATGGACGCAGCAGCCTGACTGGGAAAGGATAAAATGAGCCGTCCTCAGACTTGACGGATCAGGGCAGGAAAGTCCACTCCTGTTATTTTAGTCTTTCTCCAAGGTTAAGTCCAAGCTTATGAATGAAGGAATAGGGTGCTCGGGTGGATAAGGTCAGAGACCACCTCTAGCCTGGAAGCTTCTGTACAAACTAGCCACCACGAAGGGCTGCTGGACAACCCTGGGCTTACATTTAACATGGGAGTCCACGAACACTTTTGAGAAGCTGAACTGTGCTGCATTGTTTAAAAACAAACGACAACAACAAAAAAAAACAGAGGGAAAATGCACCAGCCGCGCGTTGCATCAAAGCTGATGATAACTGGGACCATTGGGAAGGAGACTGGGTGTCCATTCCAGCCGTTTACTGCTTGGTTTAGAGTCTGATTGGCTTCCGTCCTCCGGCTTTTGGAGTGGGCCAGTTCTCCTGGCACATGCATTTATTGAACTCTGAAAGGTCTGATCTTCTATGCAGATTAATTCATGATTTCAAAGATGCTTTGAAGCTGGCAAAACATTCTGTTATTTCCAAGAGTTATTACAACTGAAATCCTGGCATAGAAGAGGAGGTCAGCCTGTTATCTTGTTTAGATCTTTTTAAATTTAGAAACTTTATAGTGGGTTAAAAATAGATCACATTTGTGTACTTTTCCTCCTTTCATCTCCAGTGCAAAGGCTGTTCAGTAATTTTGACCTACCCTTAACACTAGCCAGGGAAATTCTCATGCTTGTCACCCAGGAGTCTGCTAAGCCAAAATAAAAGTCATTTTCAAATGGATTTTGGGGTGATGCTAGTTATACAACTGAGCAGAGTTACTCATTATCCCACATAATAAGTTCTAGAATTAAGAGCACCAGGCTACCACTAAGATCTGTGAATGGTATGTGGATTCCTGTTAAGTGAAAATGTGGGCCACGAGGGAAGTTTTCAATAGTGCTACCCTGGAGGGCTTGTGTCCTTACCTATTGATCAGAAAAGATCATAATGCTTAGGTCAAGAGAAGCTGTATGAGGCTGGAAGGTCAGGCTGCTTATAACCGAAAGTTAAATGAAGATTGCACCTGATTTCAGAAGGGCCAAATAGTGGACGTTCTCCTTTGTGGTACTCGCCAGGGTTAAGGGGGTGCCAGCATTTTCAAGCCCAGCAAAGATAGCATTACACTCAGGATTACCTCGTCATGGTTACTTTACCTTCATGAACATGCTAAATCCAGTTTTAAGGAGATCGGTGAGGCCTGAAGACATGTGTTCAATGTCAACGGGATCTGGCCTCTCGGGATTAAATATTTCCTCCACAACCTGCTTCAACAACGGCTTATAGGATGCCTGGAAAGACAAAACATTGTGCTGTAAGTAAAAGGGTTTGTTTGATTTGCCTAGAGAGAGGGTAGCTTTCTCTGCACCAAACGAAGCAAAACCAGTTTATTCTGATACTGAGCAATGGCTGTGATTCTCCATGTGTGAAAAGACAATATGACAACATTGATTTGGGGGGGAAATTTTTATCCCACTACACTAGCACTATTTTTTATTCCTCACACTCCCTTCCATAAGCAAACGCCTCTCACCACAGCTATAATCCTAGTACGGCTAACTTTTCAATCTAGATTTAAAGTGACAATTTTTTGCATGAAGTATACTGAAAAGCAAAGTATTGTCAGTTGATATAGACAGGAAGACAATCTCCTAAACATTCTTAGAATTATGCTCCCTTCTGCTAGGATCCCGAATGTTTTCTTACAATGTATTGTCACTATCCAAGGCCAAAGCAATCCCTCCGTCTTTTAGAGAGGTCAACTCCAAGTACAAACTGGCCAGAAAAAGCAGCCAAGATGCCCAAAGAAATCTGACCAAGGTCAGGGCTTAGAGAAAGCAAGCCACGCAGACTATGAGAATTTCAGTAGAATTAAGCTGATGGGAACTTACAGCAACTACAGTTTGGTAAATGGTGCTAAATCTATCCGCATTTAGGTAGTATTTGGAGGAAGCTGCCTCTGGCCAATGTATATTCCAAGCATGTTCCCCCACCTCTTTCCTTGTGTCTCCTCACTATCAAGCTTTTCCTCTCTCCTTCCCTTCGCATCGGCTGGACCACCTTCCTCCCAGTCTTGTTGCTACCTCTGCTGCTCCAGATATGTTCGGCAGCCCAGTTTGAGCATGAAGGGTGAAGGAAGAGGAATGTCTTCCCTCAAAGCACTCTGCTATATCTATTACAGGCTCAGGAAAGCCAGGCTATGACAGCACTGTAGAGATGTCATGAACTGTTCCTGTCTTTGCACTGGCCAAATCTGTAACCGGCCTCTAGCCAGTGTTGAGGATATCTGGTATGTTAATTTCACCTCTGGCTTCATCTTGCTTTTCGTAGTCATTTTTTACTCTTATTTCCCCCTTATTCCAACTTTCTTACTTGAAATACCTTAGAAATATAGCAGGGTATAAACCATCAAAATCATAAACAGTCGTTTAGCTAGAAGGTAACTGGTGCATTTATCAAGGATAAGATGCAGGGAGAAATAGCAGCTGTTGAGTTGAGGGTGCAGCTCTCCTCTGCTTATTAGTCAAACAGACCACTGCGTGCCCAGAGATCTCACGGGCAAATGCTCACGAAAGGGAAAGCACTGGGCAGAGACACCGATAACACAGAAACTGAAAAAACCAAAAACTGTGAGTCAACCTTCCTAATACCAACATAGATTTTAAAAATTTATCATACAGGCAAAAATACAGAGGTTTGAAAGTACACTTTTTTGATGAGGCTATGGGGAAACAGACACGCTCATATACTGCTGGTGGGAGTGCAAATTGTTACAATCGGTGTAGAGAGTAATCTGGCAATATCTATCAAAGTTACAAATGCATCTGACTTAGCAATTCCACATCTAGGAATTTATCCTACAAATATGCTAATATATTCAAATGAGATCCACAAAGGACTGTTTATTGTTTATAATAGCAAAAGATGAGAAACTCATGTGCCCATCAGTAGGGAGCTGTTTCATAAATGGGATACATCCACACGAAGGAATGCTATGGAAGCGAAGAGGGAAGCTCTGTGCTGATGGTAAAAAGCAAGGTGCAGAATAAATCGTGAGTGGAAGAAGCAAGGTGAGGAACAGTGTGTATGATGGGCGTTTGTGTAAAATGTGCCAAAGGGAATATGAAAGTTTGCATTTGCTGAAACATGCAAAAAATAAACTGGTGTGATATACAGAATCACCACGAGCAGTGATCATGGAGTGGGGGAACGGACAAGGGACACAGGTGAGAGGAAGCCTTTTCACTATATTCTTTTTTTAAAAAGCACAGTTAAAACACCACTACACACACACACACACGCACACACACACACACACACACACACACGGCAAGAATGGCCTTTTTTTCCCTCACCTGTTCAAAAATTAATAAATTATTTATGCATGGAAGAGATTCGAGTAAAGCACACCAAAATGTAAACAAGGGCTAACTCTAGGTTCTGGGAGTAGGGGACATTATTTTCTTTTTTTTCTAAATTTTAGAAATTGACAGGTATACTTCTGGAATCATAAAACAATCCAATAAATATTTTCAATGTTAAAAAAAATAAAGTTCATGGAATGGCCTCTGAATTCTACAAATCCTCTTCCCTGAGTAAATTGTCTTGAAAACTTTTCTACCACCTCAGCCTTTCCGGATATTTAATCTCTTAAACTTTAATCTCTTTAAATTGCTCTCCATGGAGAAGTCCTTTGGTCAATACTCTGCCACCTTATCATCATTATCATCAAATATTCATTGACTGCTTCTTTAGAAATAGAATCCAGTTTTTGGACAGGCACATGATCAACTGGCTGAAAGACTCCATTCTCCAGCCTTCTTTGCTGTTGGGTCTGCAAGTTCTGGGCAATGAGATGTAAGTAGAAGGGGAGTGGGACTTTCAGAAGTCTTCTATTTTTAAAGGGGAAGGGTATGCTTTCCTCCCCTTTCTCTGTTTGCTGCCTGGAACATGGAAGTGATGACTGGAGCTCCAGCAGCCACTGTGTAAGACAGGGCCATTCTTTAGAGATACTGGAGCAGAGGGCTGGAAGAAACCCAGGTCAGTGGAGACTGGTGGAGCCACTATAAACATAACACGGATGTACTGAATCAGGACCTACTTATGTGACAAGACAAAACCTTACATGTTTAAGCCTTACGTTTCAGATCTTGTTACTTGCAACTGAATGAAATTCTAACTGATACAAAGCACAAAGGGAAGATAAAGAAATAAAAAGGCCATTTCTTCTTTCCAGGAGTTTACAGTTATTTGTTTTATTAGTCTACATATAGTTATATAGAATAACATTAAGCAGAACCACAGAGAAGTACACATACGCTGTCACATTTAAGACAGGAGAGAGTATACCCCCAACCTACAGAAAACAAAAGAGGCTGTTGCTCCCCGTAGGATGTACCTTCTGTAAGAAGGAAGAGTAGTGATCCTGAGAAGAGCTCAGGTATAGGAAAAAGTTGGTCCTGTTGTCCAGCTAAAACACTATGCCTAGGGCCTCCTCTGTGCAAAGTACAGTGTACCAGGGTGACAGGATTGCTCTCAGGGCTCCAGAAGCCCCCATGTAGACTGTGAGACAGGGAAAGAAGGAAGCGTAGAGGGTTAGGGATCCTGCTCTCTCCCTTGCTCCAATTTCAGCTTTCCAATTTCTTCTTTAAAACGACTAAGCACAGAACCACTAAATAACATTGTCCATTTAAAGAGCACGATTTGGGAAAAGACTTTCTTAGGTACAAAGCAGTATACTAGTCTCGTGACTTCTTAGCAAATACATTTCTTAGTTTTCCCAAGTAGGGTTTTAATCATGAGAACTTTTGGCTCCTTCCTCACTTAGTTTGGACTTTTTTCTGCCCCAAATCATGTCACTGAAATCTGACTGAAATGAATAGCTTTTGGCAGTAGCTTCTTAGATGACGATCCTCTAACTGTCATGGAATTTTCTATTCAGCCAGAAGCTACCCAATTCTCAGCAAAGGACCATAGAAGGTGGTGATGGGGAGACAGATGTCTCGCCCTAGTGCCCTGCTCACAAGTTTTCCTCACATGTTAAAAAGGACCAGAGGGGAGATTAGTCGTGTAGTTTGTCTACATAAGAGTGTTAACCAGAGTAATTTAATTTTCCTAATCAAACATTCACTGTTAGTTCATCTTTCGGGGGGGGGGAAGGAGAGGAATTAAAAACACAGACAAATTCATCCTTATTTCTCGCTTATACCACATCCAGTGTGTGCTGGCAGTAAGGGGTCTGCGCCCTATGGTGCAGGGCCTACACAATCATTCAGACACCCAGGTTCCTGCTATTGAGAAGCCCCACCAGTCCCTAGGGCACTGGAATCCCACACTGAAGCCTTTGCATCTCATCAGCAGAGGATGAAAGAGAGAGAGTATGGAGGATTTCCAGAGAGATTTTATGGGTTCAGCCTGAAAGTGATCTGTATTACTTCTGCCCATTGTTCATTGGCCAGAATTAGTCACAAACCTACATTTACCTGCAAGAGAATTTGGAAAATGTGGTCTAACTATGCCAGAAGGAAAAGGAAATGGAGTTTGGGGAACATGTATAGCATCGTCTCTGCCACAGACACACCGTAAAGTCTGGATTGAAACATTAATATAACTATTTCCTTAATAACTGGCAGGTTGCTTGTTGTAGGCAAAGGATTATTAAACCTCTCTTCCCTTCTACATAAGAATCTGACCTTTGGTTAACTTTCTAGCTCTGTTTCCTTGGAAACCTGATAAGGGAAGAATGTCAAACTCTAGCCAGGCAAGATTGCTTATGATAAAAATGACCCCTGCTTAGTAAATTGCATTAGACTGGGGTAACTATAAATACTGGACAGAAAGCCAGGGCTTTGGGCTGCTCTGAGTATGATGACTCTTGTGTGGTTGGCCATGGCCCTTGGAGGAATGCTGGAAGTCATGTCAGTGGAGTTGTTTCAGAGAAATTGGCTCCTATAGGATATGAGGGTTTTAAGCCAGAGGACTCCTGCCCCTACCCTTCCCTCCATGTGAGTATAGTTCCCTCACTGCTCAGCTGTCACTTCAGGACCAAACCGAACAGCTCCTGGGTAGCTGCATGGACTGCTTCATGATGGTCACAGGACTACTTGAGAGGAGAAAAATGCCCACTGTTCCCTACCGTGAGCTATGTTCCTGTCCTCGGCAGACGGCTGCAAATGGGGGCTATGACCACAGAGATGACTTATCTACTAGGCACAGAATGCACGATGCCTAGGGCCCACAGGACTGTTAGCGACCCATGAAAATGCATCGATTTCTTTTAAAATGAGAAGAA